TCGGATTGTAGATTTGTAGTGAGTAGGCTGGAACAAATGTAATGTTACAAAACTATTACAGGAATCTGATTCAGTATGCAAAAGGCTTTTAATAAAAGAATGAAATGGGGTCAGGAAGAAGAAGAAAAGATGTGTAGTTTAATTACAGGGTGGAAAAAAGTTATAGGAAGACAAGTACTGACAGATTATATTGAAAGAAAGAATACCAAATCATAGCTGGAATAATATACCTATGGACAGTGCAAAGGACTGTGATAGGCTAATATTTTGTTTGGTATATTAATATGTTGCAGAAGTACTTTACTCAGTGATTCATCAAATGTTCTGATTTTATGGATGTGAATGCAGTACTATATTTTTGTGGCATTATCATTGATGTTTGGAGCATAGCCATTTGCAATGAATATAAAATAGTCTCATTTTCTATTTTTGCCATATACATATATAGTTATTTATGGACAGCTTGATAAATTGCATGATCCTACTTTTGTTTACCAAAACAAGCCATTATGCAAAAAAAAACAAAAAACCAGCTTCACCCTACAGTATTCCATGGAACAAGTCTAACTTTTCTCCACTCTTGACTGATAGAATGTTTTCAAAATCCAAGAGGGTCTGAAAGCAGGCTTCTGCTTTAGTTGTGTTGCTTTCTTTGGGATGCTACTGAGTTTTGGGTTTCTCAAAAAAAATTCTCTTATGGTTATCCCTGTAAGAGAATCCCTGCAGGATTCTGCTTTACCTTTTAGTGGCCTGGATATGCTACTTGAATATTAAATTACTATAAAGTTCCAGGCTTCTTGTAAAGACCTTTATCTACATCTTCAACTAACTTATGGCAAATTTTCCATTTATCTAAATACCATCTTTCCTGTTGGCTGATCTGAGAAATCCTCTGGCCTTTCACTGTGATTCCCCATTTCCTTCAGAGCACTCCTAGGATGGTTCTATTAGCCGTGTCCCCCTTTTCTGAAACTCCTCAACCCACTGTGTTGAAATTTTTGACCTATCACTGTGCTTTCCGCCCATACAGTGGTGCATTATTTTGATTCTTTTTCCAGAATTAACTTTTAATAGACTATATGGGGTTGTTTCATACACCTCATTGGACAAGTTGTGGAAATGAATATACAAGAGCAATGTATGTATGTACACAAATACACGTTACAGGATACAAGTACAAAAAACATGGAGTGAACTGTGGCTTCTTATGACTGTAGCATATATTGTAGAAGGTTGCTCTTGAACATTTGATTTTCTAAGAATTCCTTATCAAAACTACAAAGAGAAAATAGGATTAAAGAAGTAAAAATGCTTGCCTTTTGTCGAACGAGAAAAAACTGCATTGCTCAGAAGGGGTAATTTGTGAGGCTAAGTTCCAAAATGGCAGAAGAGAAGTACACCTCTGTTAATAGGCATCTTACAAAATATCCAGCACATGTAAGTTAAGGCATTCTAGATAAAATTCTGCTAAGCCAGAAATCTGTTCTTGATTCTACCACCCAAATCTGTCCTTTTCTTCTTCTTTAGGGTTATGAGCCCCTTGTCTCTGAATGTGCTTGCTTTCTGTCCAGTTGGAAGACCTTCATCCATCACTTTTCTCATTTTTCTTCTGTCCCCTCTCTTCACTGCTGTGCTTCACTGTTCTGGGTGGCAGATTTGGGAAATAGGTCATAAAAGCACCAGTGCACCTTGAACCCTAGTGGTGCTGCTTTTAGCTTCATTGTCTTTCCATTGATATAGATTTTACGGCTAACCCTTGGCCTAAACGCAGCTGGACCTCAATCCTGTTCTGGCACTAGGGTTTTAATATATTTGGCACTTTAACCCCTAGAAGCCATTCCTTCTGCTAATAATACTATAGCAAGAAGCTGCTTTAGGAGCACAGTGTGGATGCTTTCTTTTATAGCCCTATCCCTCTGTATCCAAAGCATTAATGCCTTCATATTTAGCATAGAGTATAATATACTTCAGGTAGTGGGTAGGGCACCTAGGCCATAGCTCTTAGTACTGTGTGTGCCCCCTACTCCCAAACAATTTTTTAAAAAAGTGATGCACAACATTTAAACTTTTTTTTAAGGTGAAAAGACATTCAAATAACCTTAGGGACATGGCCAGTATATTGTTTCTTCTCTGCCCGCTGATGATTCAATGTATATTTTTGATGTACCATATAAATATATATATATATATACACACACACACATATACACACACATATATATATATTATAAAAATGTTGAAATAAAAGTAAAAATATTTTGATAATCAAATTTACTTGATCTCCTGTGTTGCTTGATCGATAAATTCACATTGTTGGGCTAAAATCAACGTGTTTTAGATTCACGTCCATCTTCGACCATGGGAGCTCACTGAGGGAATTTGGGCCAATCACTTTCAGCCCAAAAGGCCATTGTTGTGGGGAAAATTGGGGAAGAGTGGTCCATTAACTCTCTTGAACTACTGGAGGAAAGGACAGAAATTAAACATTTTAATAAGAGGAAACAGCTGTCAGCTGTCTTGACATGGTAGTGGATGATGGGATATATCTGCAAGTCATCTACAGGTTGCATTGGACTGCAAGTTGAAATGCTTTGGGAACTTTTCAATTTCTTGAGCAGCTAATGCATTATTATTACTAACCCATTATTACTATTGAGAGCCTATTACATGATTACAGCAGTGTACAAATTTTATCAATAATAATTAATTTCAGAGCTGGCATCTGTCACAAAAGGTCTAAGAGAAGTATCTTTATACAATGTACACAAGGCTCTTGAACCAATACTTGACTAAAAGAATACTGTAGCGATGAAGGTCTGGTCTGTACAAACCTTGGGTGAGATAAATGAAACTGTTCTTGGGTTGCACCATTAAAAATTGTACCTTCATAAAATAAAATCTCTGTGGCTGTTGAAAGCTAGTCATAATGAAGAATTCTCCACGAAGATCTTTTTCATCCCAGTTTTATCTGTTTAGTGACTTTTCTTGGTGGGGGGTGGGATAGATCTTTATTATGAACAACTTACAGACACATTCAGTTGAGGCATGCTTTATTGAATGCAATACATTTTGTTGCATTTGCACAACACATGCAATCCAAACCAGACTTTGGCATATTGCAACAAAAAAAAAATACAACCATAGATTAAAAGTATATAGACTAAGCTATATAGCTAAAAGTATATAGGCAAAGACAGTTTTCCTTTGAATTCTCCTCAGGATGTTGCATTTCCTCATAGTTAACAGTCAGTGGGAAAGAACTGACCTATCAATGCAGTAGAAATTCTATACAGTCTTTTTGCAGTGAACGAAAACTATAGAATAAATGACAGTTCACATTTATTTCTAGTAGCCTTGTGTAGGATAGCTTTTGGGTGCACTGGGCTCTATTTTAACGTGTATGTGAATACCAGGGAAGAAAGCTTTCCAACCTAAGCTCCAAGAATAATTCTAGTTAGCTCATACGAAGAACTTTAGTCTATTGAACTCAGGCCTTGAACCTGAGGCAGTTTGGAGTTCTTTTTAGATCTGTACTGTTAACAGACAGTGAACATCTTGACTGATTCTTATCAAAGGAATACACTGTGGACCAATCCACTGGTCAATGTTTGGTCTCATCAGTTTGCTACATTTTGTCTCTATAAGCTCAGATCTGTGTTTTCCAGAATCCTTTATGATCTTTTTGTGGTCTTTGCTTAAGTTTGCAATTATAATCATTATACTTCTTACAGAATAGAACACCAGATCCCTACATGCCATCTTTGACCTTCTAGAGGCACTAAGAGAAGATAAGCATGCAGTGGTATTCTTGCTATGTATGTGCCCACACAAATGTATGCCAGCTGAGCTTTTCATAAACTAGCTTGGCACACGGACAAACAACATGTTGCTTCAGCCAACTTTTTTTTAATTGAGGCATGTGTTTGCAAGTAAGAAATGATGGTTGGAAGGGAAGGACATGTTAGTTCTTTATTTGGCTCTTAATTATTATTTCCTCTCTACACACACACACATTTTCCCAGTCTGGCTTCTCAGTCAGAAATCAGTTGCAAAAACTAAAACGTTATGAAAGAAAACTGATAATAAATGGGAAGATAAAGTATCTCCCACTGCCCCTCTATTTCCTTCGGCAACATCTCTTTATGCAGATTACATTTACTCTCATGGTTTCTCTACGAACATTTAGTTACATCGAGGTAAGTTACGAGTATGATGGGCACTACTTCAGAATATAGTACAGGTAATTCTCAATTTATAAGCATTCATTTTGTGATTGTTCAGCACTGAGAAAAGTGATTTATGACCATTTTTCACACCACTACTGCAGCATTCCCATGGTCACATGATCAGAATTTGGACACTTGGCAACTGGCCTGTATTTATGAGGGTTGCAATGTCCTGGAGTCACATGATCACCTTTTGCAACCTAATGAAGTTAATGGGTAAGCCAGATTCACTTAAATATGTTACTAACAGCTGCAGTGATTCACTTAACAATTACAGCAAGAAAGGTTATAAAATGGGGCAAAACTCACTTAACTATATTGCTTAGTAATAGAACTTTTGGGCTCATTTGTGGTTATAAGTTGAGGACTACTTGTATTATACTGTAATACAATTTTTATTCTTATTCCATCAATGAGTTGTATTTGCTGACATTTACTGACATTTAGTGGCATTTATAGATTAATAGACATTCTTCTTTAATATTCCTTTTGCAAATATGTAAGATTTTTTTTAAAAAAGATTATTTTCTTCCATAAAGTCCTTAAATGGAAAATAATTATCTTCAAATTTTTGAATAACAAATATTTTGCCTATAATCATAACTTTCTTATTAAACTAATTTCAATGCCATTTTTGTCCAATTTAAGTATTTCTGTTTAAATTACCTTCCCAATTCTTGCTCACTAATCTACACTGAAAAAACTGGAGAAAATAATTATATTCACATTGATGTTGGGAAAGCTAAAATACATTTTTTAATTTATTGTTATCTATTCTGACTGGGACACTGTGTTCTGTACTGTATTCAATAAAAGTTGATACTGCACAAACAATTCAGAGCAATGTAGAATCTGTTTTTAATCTGCATTTCAAGAATTCATAAGCAACATAGGAATCATTTCTCAATGCATTATGGGATAACAGCAGTTCTCTGATTTGAATCGACTTTATCATGACACCAGTTATATGTTACATTCATTATCCAGATCAGGTATACAAGGTCACAGTGTTTGGAAGAGACATTCACAAAACAATCAAAATCAAATCCAGATCAAGAGAGTTAATGATATATAAAAGATCACTAAAATCTATTATCCCCAAACCTAATTTCTGTTGGCAGATAATGTGCTTTCCCACAAGTTTCTATCTATATGTTTCCTCTTTTCCACAAACCCTAACCCTTATAAAAGTACAGTTAGCTTCTAAAAAATCATTCTAGAATCTGCTAATTCAAGAACATGGAAGATGGTGGATTAACTTGGCCAGGAGGGCTTCAATACTGAGTGAAGGAATAGAATATTCCATTATTCTTCTTCCTCATGTTGTTATATTCATGGCCCATCCCTCCCTTTTCCACAATCGTAAAAGATATTTCTGGAAAGGCTGGGATAATTCTACCATGCTACTCTTCAGGTTCCAAATCAAAATACAACTTAGTACCCCTGACAACTATTTTCAGATTTAAAATGTGGGTTCTTTAAACATTAAATAAAATAAAAATAAACATTAAATAAAATAAAAATAGTCTAAGCAAAAGAATGTTAAAAATCCAACCTTTAGTGCGCTGTATTGACTATTTAATACACTAGGCATTGGACATATGCTGATACTATCTGCTTGATTTTTTAAAGTACTATTTTGAGTGAAAAGTCAAGAAAAACTTCTACACTTGTGTCCTGGATTTGGAAAATTCTTTCTACCAAGACAAAAACAAATGATATAGAGATAAAGGCTGTAGGAACATAGGGTGTCTGTTACTGGTTTCTGCTCTGTGGCAAGGCCAGCCCTGCTCTACATGCATACATGTTTACCAGCAATAGTGGGTCCAACACCTGTGGGTTTCATCCATCCACAGAACCACTGCTTTTGTTCTTGCGGCTGAGCGGGAAGGTAGACTTGCTCTGTGGCTGTGTCATTTTGCTGGCTAAGTAGACAAAGGGGTCAATGAGACTCCGACGGTCAGCAACTGAGGTTTCCCACAGTTTTACTTTCTCTGCCTTTGCCCAGTGTTGGGCTATATCATGGTCCACACGGCGTTGTTCCTGCAAATCACATTTGTTGCCTAAAACCACAATAGTCACCTATGAAGATTGGAGGGGGGGGGAGAGAGAGAGAGAAAAAAAAATCTAGTTGATACAATGTCAAATGCACAAAATGCTCCAAATCCCAGGATGCTCTTATATAAATTTTATTAAAAAATAAAAAACTATGAAAAAGTAATACAAAGTAAAGAAAGAAAAGAAAAAGGGAAGGACAAAGATGCAAAAAGAAAAGATAAAAACAGAAAAAGCTTCCAATTTCCTTTGCAGCAAATACAAATATGGCCACATAATTAGCTCTTACTCTATGATTATTAAAAAATTTCTATTATGTAATATTTTAATCATCAAAACTTCAAATCAAAAGCTCACTTTCCCCCCCCTTTCATGGAAAAACCCATAAGGAGTTTCCAGGCAACAATAAATGTAGATGTTGTCTTTTCTCTAATCAAGTTTAGCCATCTCTGCAGTTTCCATCATTGTAACCCACCATTCTTCCATTGTGAATCGAATCCCAGGATACTCTTGACACGGTGGAACAAGGCCACCACCCAGAATATTTGGATGTCTGAGTCAAGGGAAAACATTCTTTCCCTTTTAGATTTGTTAGCTGAAGATTGCTTCTATCTAGAAAGACAACAGGATGGGTCCTTCAGTGCACTTAAAAACAATCCCAACATGCTTGCTGGTGGCATAAATGCCTTTTTTTTTTTCAAATATGCCATCCCTGCTTCTTACTGCTCTTAGTGCCTGGCAGCCAAATTGTCTGCCTCAGGGGCCTTCTATTTATCCCATTCTCTGACTCATCCTCAGCAACTGTAGCATTTAGCTGACCTTGGTGGGTTTAAGAAACCTATGTAGAGTTAGGACTAGTTCATGTTTGGATGGGAGACCACTAGAAAATCCCAAGATTGTGGATTCGACTGAGAATACAAAAAGGAAAGAAAAAGGATCCCATGAAAATACAATGGCAAATCATTTCCACATTATTGCTGAACTTGACCAAAGACAGACTTATGTGGCCATACAATCACATACCAACATGACACAAATATTGTGACAGAAGAGATTATTAACTTCCAATTCTCTGCCTTGATGAAAAGTGGCCAGGGGCCAGGAGCTTCAAATGATGGGTGGAAACTCTAGTTTCTAGAGTTGGGGGGGGGGAACCCTCCTATTCCTGGAGCCCCCCTCCCCCAAGAAATTATTAAGCTACCAAAAAAACAACCACATTACAGGCAGTCCTCTTTTAATGGCCACATTCCGGATCAGCAATGGAAATATTAAGCCAAGTGAAATAACAATTGTGCTTATAATCTTACTTCAGCTTTCCTTTGCTTCACAGACCTACGAATGTTAAAAATAATTGGCCACAAAGTTATTTCTTCAGCATTATCCTAACTGTGAACAATCATTGTCCAGGACAACTGGTAAATGAGGACTACCTGTACCTTTTGAAGACAGAAAAATAAATTAAGATGTTTGATCAATGTACCCCTCTAAAGAGAATCAGCATAACACATCTTCTACAGCTTAAAAATATATTATTTTTGTGAAATAAAGGTGTAACAATTGTTTCTCCTAAAAAAGAAAGAAAGATGTAATGGTATGTGGGAATAACTTTGGAAGACTGGGCAGAGAGATGCTGATGTCAGGCTCAAAGCCCACAAGTGACAAATGGTGATTCTTCCAAGCTGAGTTCTTCATTGTTTCCACATCTACAGGCAGAATCTTGCCCGGCTGAGGACTCTACTATATCACATACTCTGAGAATTATTAGGGAGGGGCTGTCTTCACTCTCTTTCTCTCGCGCAAGATATCTGTCTTTTATTCCTCTGGAATGCTCTTCCTCTTGGGAATCAACCCCACTACACTCCATTAAAGGTGCTTAAGGAACAGTCAAATAAGTGCTATCCACTCCTGCAGAGTGGGCAGAGCAAGAGTCTCAAGATGACCCTCCCTAAGTCATTGAACTGTAGGTGATGGCAGGAGAAATCCACTTTTCAGACTGGCAAGATTCTGTTAACGTAGCTTTACAATAAAATAAGAATTATCTCATTTTACTATGATTCTTTCTACATGGTAAATTCTGTCAGACAGAATAAAGAGATAAACACACATCAAAGACACTATGCTACCAGATAAAGAACAGATGAGTAGCAACAATGTTAAAATAGATTCAAATCAATCTGAAAAGTCCATTTTTGTCATTTTAGGGTCGTTGCAACAAGATCATAGAGGTTATCTTAAAATAAACTTCAAACAAATTATGTCATTTTTGCCTTAATAGACACATTTTGTTATTGGATCCCCACTTCTAAAGAACATTAGATTTTTTTGAAAGTTGATTTGAGCATCTACCTAGAACATCCCTAGACTCTTTTGCTACCCAAAGGCTTTTATGGCATGAGTATCTGGGATGCTGAGAGCAGTTTGTTCTAGTGGTTAAAGCACAAGGCTAGAAAGCAGAAGATCATGAGGTCTAGTCCTGCCTTAGCCATGACATCAAGCAGAAGAGTCACTCTCTCTCAGCCCAAATCACCTCACAGGATCGTAGAGGAAATAGAAAAAGGAAAATCTGTTGGATATGTTTACTGCCTTGAGTTATTTGTAAAAATAATACAGGGAATCAATCAATCAACATTCTGCAGCTTTCCCCAATTAGGAAAAGCTTCAGCAAAGAAGTCCACCTACCTCCTTCTTATCCTTGTTTTTGTCTATTTCCTTCTTGAGAATCTCCACCCTCTTGAAAGACTCCTTGCTGTCAATACTGTAAACCAGCACAAATCCATCCGTGCAAGAGAAGCAATGCTTGGGCAGCTCCAAGCATTGTGAGGCTCCATCCCTCAAGCCTCGGGTGTCATAGAAGCGCACCTGTTCACGCAGATTCCGGTCTGTTTCAATGGAACCCATGTAAATGTCTTCCTGGGTTTCAATCATCTCTGAACCTGCAGGGAATCAATCAGATGGAATATAAGGATCTCTACCAAAAAAAACCAAACCTTGATCTTGCTCCTAGATAGATATACACAGCTATCCAGAATAATTTCTGCTAACTGCACTTGTTAAATGTTTAACTATGGTAAGAAAAGACATAAAATGGAGCAAAATTCATTCAATGAGCAACAGAAATTTTGGGCTCAATTGTGGTCGTGGTAGTGAAGGACTACCTGTACATACTAATAACAAAACCAAATAAAGCTATTTAATTTTCACACGTTGCACTAAGCCATAGTATGTATTTCCTTTAGGCTTAGCATGCCTGAACCCATCAATCTTCTTTGTTAGTCCTGGTTTATCAGACAGTGTGTTGTGCCATTCAGCCAACTGTTGTTATTCAAGGAAAAATTCCTAAGCAGATCATGACTTAGTAGCCAGTGGAACAGAAAAGCCTAAAATGTATGATATGGGCAAAATAGTAAAGAAATAAGATTTCCCATTTAATTCCAACACTCACCAACAATATGATTCCCATATAGAAGCTGTTCCAGGATCGAAGTCTTCCCAACTGATGCTTGCCCACATACTACCACTTTGCAACTCTTCCCCATTATCTGGAGGATTACAAAGAGGAAAATTTCAAGAAGGATATACTGTAAATGAGTGGTGAAAACATATCGAAATGAAGATACATATGCAAACACTACTATTGCTCAAGGCTGGCTTTGGCTGTTCAGAGAGGGAGTCCTACATAATAACCAGACTATCCCAATCTTAGGTGCTGGTGCACAGGTAAAAGACATGAGCAGAAATTCATGAGGCTTTATAATGGCAAATGTCTGGGCAAAGTCAAGCAGAACTAAGATGAAGAATAGTTAATAGCCCTATTATTTGCAAGAATTAGAAAATGTTTCTTAAGGTCCAATAATTTAATATTTGCAAATAGAATTGATTTTTTTTCCTGCCATGGTTGGCTTTGTGCTATTCACATTTATTTTGATCTCAAGGTTTCTCTCTGACAATATAGGAACATTAATGAATTTGCTCAGATCTTGGTGCAGTTCTTTTCTCCACAGTGATTCTCTGCATAAGACTTTGTGATCTGTAGTAACTCGTGTATTTGAATATACTCATTTGTCTTACAGTCTGCAGTAATAATTTGCCTTGGATCTGGCTTTAGTTGGTGGACTTTGCTTTCCAGTCAAATCAAATAATTTTTTATTCACTCATAGACCAGCAAATAAACACAAGAGTCACAATTAAGATAAAGGGAAATATGATTATTCTAAAAAAATAAGTGAAAAGAATTAGAGTTAATATGGTGTATCGTGCAGACTATACAATAAGTACTTGGCTTGGGTTTCCAGTCAAAAGAAAGTAAATCCCATACATTCTAGGTCTAGGAGACAGAATCAAGGCTACCTCAGAATCAAGGCTACCTCTGTTTCTTACTCTAATTTTACAATTCTGATCCCTAGATTTGGTGCTTGGTGTCGCTGAATTCCAATCAGTGCTTGAATCAAACAGGGTTTGCTGATGCTTTTAGAGTTTCAGAGAGAACCCTTCTACCCCTTTAGTTTTTTCTTGACATAATCATGATTACTCTGGAGGAGACACTAACATCTTTCCCTTCTAATCATTAATGAGGAGAGAACAGAAAAGCAGCTGAGACTTACTAGCAGTAGCAGCACCATTGAGTAATTTTAGGGATGAGTAGGATGGATAGGATGATAATTTCCTTTTGTTTTCTTGTGTTTATCATTTTGGGCCAAAAGCAAGTTCATTCACTTTTCCCAAGTAATTTTTAAACCAACTAGGCACATCTAGAAAGAGGCTGCTTTTTACAATATTATGTTAGTGTTAGAAAAACTGTTTGTCAGAAAGATTGGCCAAAGAAAAGAATAAGTTGAAGAATAAAAATAACATGTAAGCAGCTTCCAATATACATTTCTTTTCTTTTAATCTACAGCTAACATTAAAACTCTAAACCAAAAAAAAGTTTAAAAAGTGAATGAAACAGTGATAAGGGGTTTCAGGATTCAATCTGGGTGGGTCACCAGGACCACACCAACCCAGATTGGATCCTGCAACATTATCCTAGGACATTTATATTTGCCTTCATTCATAAAGGGTTTCCTCTGAGAATGCAGTATCCTATCTAATCATCAGTCTGAATATGTATCCTGTATTATCTGCTTACTCTGAATATTTTTATGATAACTCTGAGCTTGATTGTTTTCTTGCAGTTGTTTCATTACCCAAACCAGATAACATCATCAGGGCTAGCAAGAAAACAAGTTCAGAGAGCACCAAGGCTCCCCTCAATTCAACCCTGAGCTACAAGTATTCTCTTTTATTGGAATATTTTTATGTCTCTGACAACCAAAATTCTACAATGGAACAGGAAAGCCACAGTATCTCCAAGTAATGTTCTTGCTTTTTAGACGGGAAAAGTGAAAGCTATGTTTATCAGTTGGTATTGCTTCTGTGCCACATTTTACCTATTAAATTTTTATGCTATCCATCTCCCCTGCAAAGTAACTCTTATTTTCTATGTACACGAATGTATAGTATATAATTAAAGCTAAATATATTTAAATATAAAAACAATAAATTTTAGTCTGTTCATATTTACTACAAATTAGCCAGGATTTATCCACACTAGAAACATAGAGGAATAAATTAGGCAGCACTGTTACAAATTTCCACTATTGAGAACAATTATTCCTTTAATCTTGTGTAGTGTGAGACTGCTCAGAGAAATATCACACAGCAATGGCAAATGGCAAAATTGCTGTCTCTTACATTTCATGACACTTTTGCTCTTTTATTTGTGCATTAATGGTCTGTCAAACAAGGCCTGGCATCTGATAAAAGCCAAGTTCTCAAAATCCAATGTCATCATTTATCAATCTCCAAGGCACTGCTAGCTTCTGGTGGGTCAGATAATACTCTAATTAAATAGCTGGTTGCTGCTCCTTAGAGAGGGGGAAATGCTCATTTGCAAATCTATCATAGATTAAATTAATCGCTGGGACAACTAGCCTGCAAACCCACCCAATCACTATTGCGCTTCTAAAAGTCTGCAATTTGTCTGAAAACTCGATTAAAAAACAAACAAACCAGCCAATCCAAAGCAATTTACCTTCCCGACCCAGGCACTGCTCTTGATGTTTCCGTGCCGTCTTCAGCAAGGAAAGGAACTGAGGACCAACAACTCGGAATGACTGAGAGAAAAGACATACGTGGAAACTGCAGCCCACAGCTCCATCTAGAGCACTGTCTGCTTTGTAATTTACTCTCTCTTGCGATCCAGTTAAGATATTTAGGAAAAGGCAACAGCAGCGCACTGCAGTCAAGTACAGAAGAATGGAGATACAAAGCTGAGCTCAGCAATCTTGTTATAATCCAAAAAGGGCTCTTCTTCATTTTAAATTTTATGAAAATTATACAGTCAAACGAGGGCTAGTGATCTTTAAAGAAAACGGCGGAAATGGTGAACTGAAAGTAATAAAAGCAATACCTCTTTTCCCTCCCTATCTCTGATTGAATTCACTAAACCAAATTTTGTTTGGCAAGAGTGCTGGTAGCAGAAAAATGGGAAATTAAAATACACTTACAGTACAAACGACATGAGAATAAATACATGACTGTAAATATGATGTGGAAAAATGTTTTAAGGTTTGGGATATCTTCAGTTGAGGCAGTGGCTGTGCTGACGTGGCGTTCTTGATTAACTGATCTATGGTTTATGGAATTAACTCAATTTTCTGAGTTTCACATAATACACTGAACAATATATCCAATACACAGGTTGGCTTTGCAGAACACATTAGGCTGAAAGATAGTTGATTAGTTTTTAGTATCGTGTTCATGCAATCAGACCCGTTTTATTGAAGAAAAAATTAATTCTTTCTCCTGGAATAAAAACGTATGACTATGAAATTGTCATCTAGTGCTTTCTAGTGCTCTATTGCTAGGCATCTAACAATAAAACCATATTGCTTTTATTGCTAGATGCCTAGCAATAGAGCACTAGAAAGCGCTAGGTGACAATATTGCTTTTATTTGTTGTGTAAGTGCATTTCTTTTATACTGTACGCTGTATTGCCTTTCCAAAGAAAATAAACTTTTATAAAATTCTGTAAAACCGTATTTTCTATTTTTATTGCAGAAAAAAACCTGCTTATTTACAGATAGAACTTTTTCCTAAGTATAAACAGATTCTGAAATATTGAAACCCAATGCTATCAAAAGAAGATCTGAAAGCAGACCGGTCCCGACTTCCAGGTTTTTTCTGCATATTTCTGTCCGAAGATACATGATTACTTCCAACTCCTGTTTCTCCAGTCCCGGGGCAAAAAAAAAAAAAAAAAAATCTTGGAGGACTGTACCGAGTCCTCGCCTCACTCTCCTCCGAACCGGAAGTGACCTATCTACCCATGATTCTTTTGTCTCCGGATATGGAAGGAGGAACTTCCGCCTCGTTCCTTTTTATTTTATCTCGTTCTCTCTCCGGCTCGCCGGCCGTTGATTGCAGCAACAAGGAACCAAGATGGCGGCAGCGGGCGGAGATTGCGACGTGATTATGGCGCCCGCGGCTCCCCCAGCGCTGGCTTCGCATTCCGAGGAACCGCTGATGTTGAGCGAAGAGGACGAGGGGACGCGCAGGTAAGCCCTCCGCCATTTCTTCTGTCCCTGGAAAGGAGTTTTTGCCCCGCGGAGGGGGAGGGGCTGCTTCGAAGCCGGGGGAGGACAAGAGGCGGAGCCTGCTTCACTGCCGTGGGGGTGGAGAAAAATAGGGCTTATTTTACAAAAGTAGCCTGGAAGGCGGCCTATGTGATTTGGCATCATTGTCATTTGTTAGCTCTTCCTCCAAAGGATCATGAATGAGAAAATTCAAGATTAAGCCAGTTAATGAAGGGAAGTTAAGAGAACCTCTCACATTTAGGGACAATATACATCTAATTCAGAGCGTTGAGGAATAAATCATGTAGGTTCTGTTATAACTTCTGGACTGTTTAGTTAGGAGATGAATTGCTGGATGAAAGAGACCTACAGTCTGATCAATATTTACATTTAACTGTGAATTTCCCAGGTTCAAGGTAACAGGATTCAAGCTGGAGATTTGCCACAGTAGGCAGTGAGACATCTAATCTATACGTTTTGTGTTAAATCTTATTTGGGGGGAAAAACACCTTGAATTTAATTTTGGATTATTATGGGGCAGTGATTTTTTTCTATCTTGATTCATAAGATGCACAATCACTGCATAATAGTGTAGGCAGTTACAGGTGAAAACTAATGCAGTCCTTTTTTAAAAAAAAAATTCTGGGTTGGGTGCCACTTGGTTTATAGCAAGTGATTCCTCTCTTGTGAGAAAAATCATAGAGGAATCTCTAGAAAAAAATAGTAGCTAATCTGGAAGTTTGTAGTATCAGGCTTTTGGCTGGCTGGGCAAACAAAGAAAAGGTGAATTAAAAATGAATCTGGCTGTCATTGATTACAAAATTAGATATATGATTTGAAAAAAATTCCTGTTTCTCCTGTTATTCAAAGGATCACACCTTGTTTCTGATGTCTTTTCTGCCTTACAGCTAAAGGTACCTATCAGTAAACGCTTATTATACTTATATATAGAAACTGTGACATACATAGTTGGGTTGTAACACATGTACTCCTGGGACATTGGATGATAGCCAACACTTGTAATTGGCAGTTTGCAAGGGTGCATAGTGTGGGGTTATCCTCAGGGGAACCTTCTGAATTGGATAAGTGAGCTATAATTTATGTTAGCAAGCTTGGCTAGGGTTTGAATGAGTCTTCCAGCTAAATATTCCATAATGCAATTCAAAGTATTAGATTTCCTAGAGACAGTTGATCATCAATTAAAGGTATTGACTTTTTTCCTCCTCCAAGAGTAGTACAATGTGACCTACAATATCCATCCTGGATTCAAATAGTAAAACTGAATAACTTAGTTTGTGGGATGAGGGAGTGAAGGAGAATTAAAACAACTTCCTAAAAGAACCATAATTTTAAGATTATTAAACAACTGCAGTTGAGTGTGATTTATTCAGTGCACCATAATTAAATTATAGTGCAATATAATATATGAATCCAGGCATGGGTTATTGTACCACAATGTTAGATAATAGTTGAGATTGTAAAAAGTATAGTTGTACCTTTCAACGCTGGAGTAGAAAGAAGATATATACTACATACATAGGAGAAAAAAAGACCATATTATATCTTGCATATCAGGCATCCATAATGACTGAGCATGTTTCCCAGAGCATGTTTCAGAATCCTCTGCAATATTTACAAATTCCTTAACTGTGTGGGAAGGATTTCCCCCAAATTTAAAAACCTCTGCAGTACAACTTTTATAGCTTGAATGGCCTGCTCACATCCTAAGAATATGTATACTGCTTCACAAAAAGGGCATATCCTGGGTTTTGGAAGAATTTCTGTCTTGGGACAACCTCTAGTAGGATTGTGCAGCATTTTGTAATTATGTATTTGAGAGCATGGAAACAGAAATGTAACCTCTGTTTGCTACTGTATGATGCTTGGAAAACATAGTTGTATTAAGATATTGCAGATAGGTACTGCATTTCTATTTGGAATAATGCATAATCTTAGTATCTAAAATGAGAATTTATCCTAGCATAAATGTATACTGTGCTATAGAGTCAGGGTAAATTCATTAACTATGATGGTTATAAAAATCTAAATATGGTATGTGTTAACAGTGAAGATCAATAATACAATATTTGCTATTCGTATTGGAATTTCAGGGCAGGGCATTTGATTCCCAATTGTTGTGAGCAATTGGTAGTTTTCTTAATGAGGGTCCTCGGTGTTCTCTGAGTTTGGTTGTTTTCTTGCAGATATTTCATTACCTAAACTAGATAACATCATCAGTGCTCTGATTGATGCATCAGATTGAACACTAAAGATGTAACCTAGTTTTGGTAATGAAACATCTGCAAGAAAACAACCAAACTCAAAGAGCACCAAGGACCCCTCATTTCAACCCTGAGCTACAAATATTCTCCTTTATTAATTATCTTAAATGTATGTTAAAAGCTTTGAATATTAAAATTGGGAAATATTGTATAATTTTACAGAGTCACATGATTGGTCTGGAGTGATTGTTTTCAATGTCCTATTTATATGACTTATTTAACTGGTTTGAGTTATGACACTAGGAAAATTTGGTAAATAGAGCAAAAGACAAAAGTCTCTGCTCCCTGGTCAGCTTTGTTGTTTTGCTAGACAAAGTGGGGTTTTAATTACTTTTTTCCCTAATTATAATGGAAATTACATTGTAGAGAGCCCCCAGGGAAAATGGGGGTTCTCTATGCATTCTTTGTCCTTGGCTGTTTGGTTCTCTCTTTTCATCCCTCTTCCTGCAACCACAAGGGAAAATAGGACAAGGAACAGGTTGGTGTAGGTATGATACTCAATTATGCTACCCCAATTTTTATTCTTAAAAAATTTACTCTTGCTAAAACAAAGTGGGAAAGGAAAGAAATCTTTGACTGGGAAATTTATAAAAGAGAGCACTGAACCCAGTCATTCCATCTCATGCAGAGGTTTTTCTTCTTAGTTGGAGAGTAGAATTGTTTTTTAGCATTTTTTTTGCTATGGTCATTAAGAAAATATACAGGTAGTCCTCGATTTACAACAGTTCATTTAGTGACCATTCAAAGTTATAACAGCACTGAAATAAGTGACTTATGGCCATTTTTCACAGTTACGACCTTTGCAGCATCCTCATGATCATGTGATCAAAATTCAGATGCTTGGCAACTGGTTCATACTTATGATGGTCGCAGTGTCCCTGGAACCATGTGATCACCTTTTGCAACCTTCTGACAAGCAAAGTCAATGGGGAAGCCAGATTCATTTAACAACCATGTTACCAATTTAACAACTGCAATGATTCACTTAACAACTATGGCAAGAAAGTTCGTAAAATAGGACAAAACTCACATAACAAATGTCTCAATTAACAACAGAAATTTTAGGCTCAATTGACATAAGTTAATTACCAGTAGTGGTAATTGTTAAATGAGTACATTCTAATGGTATTTTTTGCCAGAAACCAGTAAAAGCCAGAAATTGACAAAAAGTCACAGACTGTGGTCACTTAATTGTAGTTAATGCTGTGACTGGTTACCCAGCACCTGGCATGCACTCATATGACTGGGGGGGGAGGGGAATACTACCAATTATAATAATTTTAAAGGTTATAAAGCACCAGTTACATGGTCATTGTAAATGCAGATGGCTATTAAGCAACCAGTTGTAAATTAAGGACTTCCTATATGTATTTGCCCACAAAATTATCAACTGAAAAGAATATGTGTAGCTCAGAGTGCTTGGTGCTCTCTGAACATGGTTATTTGCTTGCAGACATTTTATTACCCAGTTAGGTAACATTATCAGTGCTAATGAGTGTGGGGTGCGTAATTTGTAAAGGTATTTATGTGTCTATTGATGTACATCAAAAACACCTCAAGCAACAAAAATCATAGCATCACCATAGCACACAAACCAACTAAAGTGCTCCAAAACATCTTAAGTAAATTAAAGGACCAAGTAGCCCAAGAAGAAGAAAAAAACAGGGATCTATAATAGGGATCCCCAACCCCCAGTCCGTGGACTGGTATCAGGTTGTGGCATGCCAGCAACCAGTTCACACAAACAAGCAAAGCCCCATCTGTGGGATGCAGGCAGCACACAAAACCACACACTCTCCGGTCCATGGAAAAACCTCTCTCCACAAAACCAGTCCCTGGTGCCCAAAAGGTTCGGGACCTCTGATCTACAACATACGGTGTAAGTACTGTAACAGCTACTATGTAGGACAGAGGATTACAGAATACATCCATGAACAGCAACTAGCAGACAGAAGATACTGTGAAAACTCTTTAATCTCACAACACACGGACAGGCTCAACCATGAGGAGTTCTTGGTGCTCTCTGAGCTTGGTTGTTTTATTGCAAATGTTTCATTACTCAAACTAGCTCTGCAACAGCAATGCATAAGATCGTTAAAATCACATAGTTATTATCTCAAGATAAATATTAGAAATTAAGTCTGTAGGGATATTCTTTGAATCTCTGATGTTACCTAGTTTGGGTAATGAAACATCTGCAACAAAACAACCAAGCTCAGAGACCACCAAGAATACCTCATTTCAATTCTGAACTACAAATGTTCTCCTTTATTGAGACTCAACCATAGTTTCAACTGGGAAATGGAGCACCTTAGACCAAGTTAAATCCAGAAACACTAAGGAATTCCTGGAAGCCTGGCATTCAGACAAGGAAAATTCAGGTAAATCAGCTGTCAGTAGACACAAATCACACATTTATACACAATTCAAAGGAGACAATTAAAGAACAAGGAGAACAAAAAGACATCCTCTCCAAAAGACTATATCCAGATAAGCAGGGATTAACATCAGATAAATAGAAAATAATGTCCTAATCAAGGCATTACCAAGGAGAAAACCACATCTCGATCAAGATTGACAGGGCAAGCTGTTGTATATAAACAGGGAGCAAACCTCATACTCATTAGCATAGGTGATTTATTTAGTCAGGTAATGAAAATGTCTGCAAGCTTAGTTAGTCCCAAGGACTCCACAAATTAA